CACGGGTGTTAACCAGCCTCTCCTGTCCCCTTCTTGTCACTGCCCAGTCCCTGCCACAGCCAATCTGTGTCCTAATCTCCATCAATTAACAAGAAACACTTTCGCCCCCTCGCTCCCCCTCACCAATACAGACACCCACCCTGAAGCCTCGGATAAAGAGGAAAGAGCCCCCCCCAGCCTCGACCCTCTCCCCCTTTACTTTCCACTAACTCAGCGCAACCAATTAGGCATCTGACACCCGTACTGGCTGACAAATTGTTTCTGTCATCTGCTTTCTGTCTTTCATTAAACGAGAGGCGGAGGGGGGAATTGAGAAGGGAGGGGGGGCTGGGAGATGTGATCTCCCATGCTTAGCGAGGCCAGATACATTAATTACAAAACGGCCATTTGCAGCATGAAAATGCATTAATTAAATTTATGCAATCATTATCTTTAAATAGTCATATCTTTAAAATAATCAGCCCTTCCTGAGTCTTCCCTCTCCTCCGCTAAGTATCTCTAATCCCTTTTCCACCATTTATCTCTGGATCAGCAGTGGCTTGTATGCTTTTAAACTTCTGCATGTAGGAGATGCCTTAAAAACTCTGCTCAAGTAATACGAGAGTGTGATACCTTCACTCTTCCCCTTGGCCCTGCAGCAAGGAGGACATGTGAGGGGCACAACTCAGCAAATTATAGCATGTGCCATTTTTTGGAGGCTTTTGATCAAGATATTTTCGTAAAAGAGAGCATGTAGCTGAGCCAGGATTTGGAGGGTTAATGTATAAAGTTATTTGCTTGCATTGGTACAGGAGAGCAAGCTATGTGCTGGTTTACAAACTCACTTAGTAAATGTATTGCTGTTTTTGTTTGGAACAGGTTTCATTTTAATGAGGTAACAACCCTTCCCTTCAGCGCAGACATAGCTTTTGCCAGCAGACAGTTACCTTTCATCAGTGCGTCTTTTTCTTCTTAAAAATCACTTAGTTCAAGGCAGAAAATGATGTTCATAAGAAAAGCAAGGTTTAGAAATAGGCATTTTGCTGCTCTGATGCTTGAGATCGCTTCTTGGTGGCTTCATATTATAATGCTAAAAAATATTTGATTTTGGAGTACCATCAGACGTAGCCAAAATCAAATTGTGCTAGACAAATAAGAAGGAAGCACAGTTAATGATGTGTTAGCCCAGGAGCTTCTACTGTTACACTTTATTGTTCAAAGACTTCACCTGTTTGTGGTGGCTACTCAAATAATCATTGCAAACGCAAACTTATCGAGGTTTGTGCTGGTCCTCAGCAGACCCCACGTGCAGGAGTGCCAAAATACCCAGGGAAGAATTAATCTCATCCCCTGCTTAAGTAAGCACCTATAATACCACAGGAAAACTCCAGTCGAAATAGCTTTTAAAGAGCTGGAGGACTCAAAGAGGGATATGTATCTAAACTCAAATCCTTTAGGGCTTTCTTATCGCTTCTGGTTAAAGATTTTGTTCTGCTCTTTGTGTGTCTGCATCGTTTTTAATAAATCCTACATGTTTTTTTTTCCCTATCTGTAATGCCTAGTGGGCCAACGTCCAATTAGACGGGAGCCGATGCAGTGGTATTTGGATCCAAACCTCATGTTGTGTTCAGCTAGAGTCGTGAGTTCAGGATTAAGACCAGGTAGAATTTGGGGGAGGATTTGACGGTGACTGAATCCTGCCAGATTTCTCACATCTGAGGGGCAGAAATGAGCTCTGGGGTTTCAGAAACAGAGACAGACAGTAGCTTGGCCTGCGCAGGGAAGTCCCCTTGACAGCCTGGTGTCCCCAGCCTCCTCTTCAAGAAGTGCATTATGAAACTATAAGCTGTTTGGATCCAGCACAGCATGAACTTAGTGTAAAGGTGATTACAAATAATAAATACAAAGGGCTCATTTTTCCCTGGACCATCTCTGAAAATGGACATTTCTGGAGAGAAAGGAAAAGCTTTATTATGGAGCAAAACAGGGAAAGCAGTTGTTTAGCTAGAACAGCTTAGCTGTAAGGGTAATCCTCTATTAAAGCCCGTATTTTCAACTGGCTTCCTCTCCTCTCCTCTCCTCTCCTCTCC